CTGTGCTTCCTCCACCCCAGGAGGGCCGCAGGCAGACGGTGCGGGTTATTTTCTCCCAAGAGCAACTAACATCCCAAGGAACAAGCACGGATGAAGCACAACTCGGGGCCCAGCACCAGGCTCCCCGCCGACGCCTCCGCCGGAGAAAGCCTGGCTCCCAGCCCGCGGCGGGTGGGGTCGGGCTTCCTTGCCGGAGGGGAATTCGCCGCCATTGAGGAACCAGAGGGGAGACTGGCCCACCTTCCCGCCTCTCGCCTAGGTTAGCAGGGTCCAATTCCAAAACCAAGATTCTGAGCCCCCCGGCACCCCCCTAAAGTCAATAAACAGATAAAAGATAAATAAAATGTAAGATTAATAAGTGCTGCCAAGGACTTAAACGTAGGCCAAGATAAAATAATGGAAGGAACTTCCCTGAGGTACGATGGTCAGAGAAAGAACTAAACTACCTATGCTTCCCCCTCCGCCCTTCCCCCTCCCACGCCGCAGGGACCCGAATGCCCGGATGAGAAGGGCGGCGGCACCGGAGCGAGCCCTTTGTCAGCTGCAGCCTCAGCCTCAGCTGCGGAGCGGGAGGCCTCCGCCGAGAGCGAAGCTGCACCTCTCGTTCCCTGGAGGCGGCTGGCAAAAGCTGCTTTCCTCCTTCTCCCTTAGCCTCGGCTGCGGGCCCTACAAGCTCACTTCTTCCGCTGTTTCCCCCCGAAACCCCGAGATCTCTGCTGCCGCTGCCTCTACCACCAGCTTCCTGTTTATCCGCACTGCGCCTGCGCCGGAGACCGGCTCAGACCGGTCGCCTAGGGAGAGGGGGAGCCGAGGCGGCGCGCAGGGCGAGAGGGAATGAAAGCAGCAGGATGTACCACTGACGGTCGCCACCCTCCAGGACGAGCCGGGCGCCCAGGGACGGACCAGCACCCCACCCCAGGAAAGGCAATGTGGGAGGGGGCTGCAGCGGACGGGGCAATTGGGAAAAGGGGAAGAGAGCTGTTTACTCTCTCAGTGCGCAGGCGCGGGCGCTAAGCCTCTGGTTCTTAAAGACGCAGGAGGACACTGACCTACTTCTATTGGGGTTCTTCTCAGAGGTGGGTTCATGGCGACGGCCTGACACAGGCTCGGTTCTGCAAAGACCACACTTCACGGCGCTCAGCTAACCCCTGTGGCTTGAGTTATTTTCCTCTACCCCCAGCTTGGCGCTAACCCCTTGGAAAGATCCGATCGTTCGTTCCTTCATTCCGCAGACACCTACGGAGCTCGTCGCGCGCTGGGTGCTGGGCTCTCGGGGCACTGTGAGCTCACAGCACGGTGGCGGAGACAAAGTACACACAGTCCCCATACAGAGTGCAGAGAAGGGACTGATGGCATCCTCTCTGGGGGAGAGGCAGTGACCGTGATGGTTCTGTGTTTTGAGTTGGATGTTAAAGGATGAGAAGGAGTTAGCCAGAGTGAGTACTGAAGGAGGGAGGAGAACGCCCCAGGCAAAAGGAACAGAGTACAAATGTAGGGAAGGGTGAAAGGCGGGGGGGCGGGGGGGCTTAGAAATGGGGAGCGAGCGTGAATTGTGAGTGAGAAGTGAGATCCCTTGGGCCTCAGCATAAACATCAGTTCCTTGGGGAAGCCTTCCCTTCGCCCGAGGTGGGCCCGGATCCGTCGCTGTGTGTTCTGAGAGCTCCCTGTAGCCCTGTCAGAATGCACTTGACATTTATGTAGAGAGATCCGTCCCAAGGCGGGAGGTATAAATGTGGAATAAGCATCTCAGTCTCATTCGGATTACTAAGGCTTGGTATTGTCCATCTTCCACTTGAGTTTCATATTTGACTCCTCCGGTGGTAGCCCAACTTGTAGCCCATGTTCTTTTTATTCCGAGAGTGTTGAGATTGGGGTTAAGGGCAGGCATTTTCTTAGGGGGTTTCCTGTGATAACAATTGGGAGTCATAAGCAGCTTCCGTGGATACTGTGATCACTTGGGGGGCCTGGGACTGTCAGTCCAGCTGACCCCAACCTTTAGTCTCCTGACACTTTACTCTTTGCCTCACACCTCACACCATGATATCTGCTAGCAAGTCAGTAGCCACAGTTTCATCTGTCCACAGTCCAGACTCTGGGGTCTGTGGCCCAGGCAACATCCACTTTCCATATCGGTATCTCTCAAACTTGAAGGGCAGTTCTTGCTACATAATTTCTCTCCATACTACACCTATAATAGGAATCAAAATTTAATAGGCCTGTGATAAATATTTGTGGGTAGATGAAATAGGGCCCTGCTCTCACGGAGTGTACATTCTAGTTGAGGAAACAGGCCATAATAAATTCAATACATACACAGGAACTCAGTTGTGATAAGTAGTATGAACAGAAGAAATTGAGGGATGTGATAAAAAGTAGCCACCACAAGGAGGGGCTATTTTAGTGGAATAATAAGTAGTGATCCAGGTGAGTAATGACAGGGGCTTCGACTTAGAGGACAGCAGTGGAGATAGGCGATACACCTTTGGTGGTTGATTCAAAGGGGGTAAGAGGGAGAGGGAGGGAGCGGAAGAAATGAAGAATTCTCAACTAGATGAGCAATCAGGTGGATGGTGTCATTTACTGAAATGGGGAAGACTTGGAAGGCATGAATCAAAGTTCCATTTTGAACATGTTAAGTCTGAACATTTTAGGTCCACATGAGTATGTCAAATAGATAATCCTGGAGCTATGAACTCAGGAGTCCTCTGCATATAAATGAAGCCATGGGGTTTACTGTGATTTGGAGAAGAGGCTCAAGTCTGAGCTGTGGGCCCCAATGTTGTTTAGAATTCCAGTTGAGAAGGATGAGTCTGCAGGGGAGGGGTCAGAAGGGTCATCCAGAAATGTAAGAGAAAAACCAGGAAGTATAAAATTCTGGAAGGCAGGAAAGGAGGGTGTTTTGAGATGGAGCAGCTGACAACATTGAGTCTGACCAATGGCTAGAAAAAAATCAGAATGCCAACTTGTTTTTTTCTGGTTCCCATTGGTGTGCTCTGGTTCTGGGGCACTTCCTACTTCACTAGAAATGCTCAGGTCAGACTTCAACTTCCCTTAAACATGGATCTACCCCAAAATATAGAAAATGTCTCCAAACCTAACCCAGTTATATACACACACTCACCATGCTCATTCATCCAATCACACAATTATTGAGTGCCTATTGTTTGCCAGGCCTTGAGGATAAGATAGTGAGGTGGGGGAACCTAGTCCAGGCACTCAAGGAGCCCTCAAGAGCTTACAGTGTATCAAAGAAGACAATCACCCAAATATATAGTTATAAACTGAGAGGTGCCATGAAGGAAAAGTATAGGGCACCATGAGAGCCTGTCAGTGTCACCTTGTTTAAATTATGCCTGACATGCACCGCATCCATCTTTCACACACAAATCTCTACTGTGCCACAGGCCACCCTGAACAGACCTGGGGGACTGAGTCTAGCCTCAATACTCCTATAAATGTGCCTGTTTCCTCTTCTCTACAATGGAAGGCTGAAAGGTAGACTGGATCACAGGTTCTTAACTTAGGGCTCGTGGATGGGCTTCAGGGATACACAAATGAATGGGAAATGTGCATTGTTTTTCCTTCTGGACAGTAAACCCATAGCTTTCATCAGGTCCTTCAGAGGTGTTGTGACCCAAAGAAACCCAAGGACCTAAGGATTAGATAATTGTGTGATGTGAGCCAGGACAGATGACAAAATGATGCACTTTGGAACTATTTGTTTCTTGGATACCATACCCTTCCCTTGACCTTGTCAGTGTGTAGAGTAATAGAAGGCCTGATCCCTCTTCTATGGCTGGTTAAGCTTAGTAACTAAGTGAAGGTACCTTAGAGAAAGAATGGGAGGAATCTACCATTGGTGGCTACTCTTCCTGGAACAAAACAAAAAAAGGTTCCCACCCCACAAAGGAAGTCTCTATTACCCTAGTGTCACCTGCTCCATGGTCACCTGCCCTGGGTCCACTCCATCAGATCCATTCTTGGCTGGAGTATAGACACAAATGTATGTCCATACTGGAGGCAAGGTTGGGATGTTTACACAATGAAATTTTCATTTGAAACTAAAGGGAACGCTCCCCCTCAAAAGAAAGCACTTTGAGATTAACTGATGTCTGTGAATTAGAAATTCTTGATTCAACTTGTAATAATGTCTAGACAAAAGACAGTTGGTTTGGCACAGTCCTTTGGACATTAATATCCTGTCTCCTCCTCGTCTCCTCTAAGAGGAGAGATTCCCATGGGTGCTCTCTGAGATCAGGGAGGTTTCCAGCCCTTCCAGAACCTGTGCCTGGATCTCCTGTCAGTGGTCGGCCAGACTATGGGAAAGAGAGGCACTTTCTTTGGGATCTAAAAGGTTCCAGGTACATGAGTTAGAGGTATGTGTGGGGCAGGAGGGACAAAAAGGCGGAGACAGAAGCCTGTGCATAGCCATTGTGTTTTATTGGATCTGGTGTATTTCTTATTTTACAAAATATACAGAGGAGCCAAAAATGCAAAGCAGTCAACAGTGTTCTGATGGGAAAGGGAGCTTCCCAGGGGCCCTTCCCCTCAGATCCTAGCTAATGGGACAAGCAGGTGTATTAAGGGGTGGCAGCATGGCAGGGGTGCTGTTGATGATATGGGACCTGGTTCCTATGATTCCTGACTTCTAGGTGTGTTCAGGGGCATCTCTGGGTAGATTTAATAGAGCAAGAGGCGACACTAGAAGGGAATTGGGGGGGAGCTATCTGGGGGGTTGATCTAAAGCCTGGGTAGATCAAAGATTCTAATGAATGCCCCCCACATTGGGTGTAGGTGCTATGCCTGCCTCCCTCCTTCCCTTTTCTTCTAATGCATCCACTGGGTGGTCCCTAACTCACTCCATACTGGTAGCTGAACCTTTGGCAGGAATCAGCCGGGACATCTCCCAGCCATATTCTTCTGCTGCCACCATACAAACAGGAAGGAAGGAGAGAGAAAAATTCTAGGGATGAGCCAGACTTCACGATCCCAGGATCTCTTGGCATACTGAACATGGTATGGAGAATTTCTGGGGTGTTTCTAAGGAGCCAAGGTCTTCTAAAGAGCCTGGAAACTCATATTCTGGTGGCAGACCTGTGGAGCTCAGAGTCATAGCCTTAGCTCTCAGCATCTCCAGGCCTTTCTGCTTTACACTCCAGCTACTTCCTAGGACTCAACCACTGCCTGAAGCCTGAGAGTTCTCCCTTGTCCCTCTCCTAGGGAGCTCTCAGGCCCTGGTCTGAAAGGCCAATCAGTGCCAAGGACAGAGCAACCTGTCTGAGAAGGGAGTCTTAAGGAAAATGTTTACGATATCAGGGATGGGGGAAGCACCATAACAGGAGAAATTTTGTCTAGTGTTGCAGTTTCTAGAGTGGGGGTTGGAGGTGGAGAACCACTTAATTCCTTCAGCAGGGGCATCCTCAGCACGGTCAGGGAGGCAGTGGGAGCTGTTGGGAATTGGGAATACCAGCTGATACACTCTGCCCACTCCCTGGCTCCTTCGGCTCCAATGATCTGAACCACTGAATCCCCAGGCTCTTGGATTCCTACAGGCCCTAGGGCAGGTCTAGGGTGAGGAGAGAGCTAGGAAGAGAAAGATGAGGCCCAACTGGACTAGGGCTAGAGCATGGCCCCCCCAGGACAACTGACCCCCTCTCCCGGTGAGCTAGATGACATTGTCAAAGAGCTGCATGGACCTCATGATGTTCTCATCCTGTAGCCATGGTGTGAGAGAGGCAGATTGGAGAAAGAAAGAAAAAGAGCTTATCAGAGGCAGGGAGAGACACTGAGTCATAAATGAGGACATTCAGAAACACAGAGAGGCAACGAGGAAGGAGACACCCAGAGAGACCAGAGGTGAAGAATGGCAGGCCTCCCCCAGTTGTGAAGGAACAGGATTGGGAGTGGGGGTGAGTTCAGGAGCCTTCTCCTATATTATTGAGTTAGGCCCTGAGTCCAGACCAGGGAAATGGGGAGGGTGGGGACCTGTACCTTTTGACAAGATTCAATGAATTCCTCAATGGTCACCACGCCATCCTTATTCCTGTCCATCTTCTGCAAAAAGGTAATTGGGAGGGAGAACAGGATGGATGGCAGGAGAGAGACAGGTAGAATTCAGGCAAGTTCCCTACTGGGACCTCACCTCCTCTTCACTCCAGGACCCTCCAGCCTACCCAATCCCAAGCACCTGGAAGAAGCTCTCCACATGTTCCCTTGGGGCCTCCTCTCGGAGTGCAGGATACGTATACTTGCCCATCATGTCATAGATGGACTTCATGATATCAAGCATTTCCTGTTAGACCAAGAAAAAAAAAAGGATCTCTCTTCAGAGCCTCTAGCCTCCAAACCAGGAGGCCTAGGCCCTACGCAGGCATCACCCTGCTGTTGATGCCTACGTGGGTCGCATTTCCTTCCTGTGGGCCTTTCACACCTCCCCTCCAGCTCTTCAGTTGCCGTGCACACCTCCTTGGTGATGCAGCCATCCTTGTTGAGGTCATACAGGTTGAAGGCCCAGTTCAGCCTGTCATCTATGGTTCCCCGAAGAATCACTGACAAACCAGCCACAAAGTCCTGGGAAGGAGGCAGGGGGGAAACATGTCTTTAGATACCCTTTGCCCAACCTCCTCTCTGGGTTTGGCCTATACATTCTGGCCCTGAAGCCCTAGGCCTCCCTGGCCCACCTTCTCCAGCTTACCTCAAAATTGACTGAGCCATCATGGTTGGTGTCAAAGGCATTGAAGAGAAAAGTGGCATATGTGCTAGAGTCTGCAGAATATGTGGGGATCAGTAAGCTTGACTTCCAGACAGCAGAGGGCTTCCTATCTCTATGGGATTCCCCAAACACCTCTTACCATTGGCATTCCCAGCCCCTCCAGAACCCTCTCCCCCACTCAGCCTAGAGATGAACAGCTGTTTCCTTGCAGGCCTGTCCCCTCACCTCCTTGAGGAAAGAACTGGGAGTAAATCTGCTTGAAGTTCTCCTCACTGACAATTCCGCTGGGACATTCCTGGGGAGGGGGGAGACCAAACTGAAGACAGAGACAAACCCCCTTCTACTTGCTCTTCTTCCAGACCCCGCTCTCCTCCATGCCCAGAGAGTCCCAGGCAAGGACAAAATCTTCATGTCTCCCAGAGGCTCAGCATGCAGCTTTTCTAATGGGAGGCATGGCTTCTCCCAGGACACAAATAAAATAAAATAAAAACTCAGAACTAACCTGACAGTCTGGTCTGCCCATCTCAAACAGGCCAGAACTCCGGCTAGAAGTTCGGCCTGGGAGGGGAGGAGGAGGGGGTTCTCCTTGCGCCTCCCCTTCCCTCTCAAACCCCAAAGCCAGGCCACCTTTCCGAGAAGTCCTGGATAGGCCCCGCCCCTCCTGTCCCACCCCTCACCCAGTTTGGCTGGCCTTGTACTCACGTTCTTGAAGCCTCGGTACAGGACCTGCAATTCTTTGCGAGTGAACTTGGTTTGCTCTTGCAGCTGCTCCAGACCCTCGGGCCGGTGACACACGGTGGACAGTTCAAAGTCATCCTCCACGCTGTCTGCGAGGGTTAGGGGGGACCAGGGGAGGGAGAACCGAGCCTCAGGCCCGGTCCCCACAACCCTTCTTCAAAATCACGGACCCATACATCCCCCTTATCTCCAACTCCAGTAACTAGCCTGCCAGTTCACTGGACCCCACGCCAAGGACATGAAGGCAAGGAGAGAAGACACTGGTCAGCTTCGAGGTCTGTCAGCCCAAGGCCAGTGCCCGGTCCCAGAGCCAGAGATCCGACCCGTCTCAGGCCCCTGGGCCCTTGGTTCCTGGTTGGAGGGAAAAGCCCCAAGCCCATCTTCATCCCAGAAGGGGTTGGAGTAGCAAAGACAGGTTCAAGCTCTGGGACTTCCCGCACCAACTGAGATCTGCCCAGTCCCAGGCTTGCCTTTTTCCAGATCCTTCCTTCCTACTAAACCCCGCCTACCCCAGCCATGCCTGAGCCATGCCCCGCCCAGCTCCAGCCAAGCCCCGTCCAGACCCCACCCCTGCCTCCGCCCTGGGTAAATCTTAGCCAGGGCCCCACCCTCGGCCCCATCTCAGTACCCTCCCCAACCCCCAACATCCAGTCCCCAGGCAAATACCCCCACCCCGTGCTCCCGAAGCCCCCCGCCCCCGCCCCCACCAGGAGAGTAAGTCACCTGGGTCCAGCGGGCGGGGTCTGTGGGGGCGTAGGGAGGCTGGGGCAGCTAATGCTGAAGGGAGCGAACTGTCACCGAGAAAGCTGAAGACCCGGCCAACTGCAAACACACACCTCACTCCTCACACTCACTGCAAATCTCACAGACCTGCGTGTTACAGTGCGCACACCCCAGCCCCGCACGCGAAAGCACACATGACGAACGGGCACAGACTCACGAAATGGACCCCACGCACACGTGCCTGTCCTTTTTTCAAATCGATCCCCACGTGGGATCAGGAATCAAACAAACACTCTCAAATCACCACAAGACGGGCCTTTAGAGCTTGCAGAATGCAACACGATCCTAGGCCCTGGACAAGGCCCCACTGAAGAAACAGGCCTAAGATAAAGGGAACCAGGCTGCCACTGGAAAACCCAAGCATCCTGGCATCTGCGGAAGGAGCACTCCATTCGCATGGGCGACAGACATCTTGACAACCAACACATGCCCAGGGACGCGACAGGAGGCCCGAGTCGCAGACAACCCAGCTAAGCCAGGCACAGACCTGCACAGCCGCTGCCACTTCAGCCACAGCGCTCGGCTCGCGCCTCAGCCCCACACACCGGCCACGCCCACACACCGGCCCCGCCCACAAGCAGGCACCTCCCACCGACACTCGGGCCACGCCCCAAGCTGGCCACACCCACAACCAGTTTCTTCTAAAAAAGGTAGCAACGCTTGCTGCTCACTCCTGTGCCAGCCAGCGCCCACCCTACCGACACTTGGACATACACACACACACACACCTGCTCCCCACACACCGTCCCATCTCACATTGGACACACACACACACACACACACCGCACACGCACGCACACGGGTCAACTGCTCCGAGCCTATGTGCCACACACCGTCCCATCCCATATTGGACACACACACACACACACACCCGCTCCCCACACATCGTCCCATCCCATATTGGACACACACACACACACCCGCTCCCCACACACTGGTCCCAACACACACAACAGACCCCGCCCCGGAAGTACAGGAGCAGCACTTGCTTTCACTGACTGAGGGCAGGGCTTGGGGCCCGCAGCATGGCAGCAGCTGGAGGAACCGCTGCTTCAGCGCTTTTTTAGTAGGCCCTGGAGGGTGGCCTGGGAAGAGAGAAGACCCCAGGAAGGCACATTAACCCCCACTGCCCCTCCGTTCCCTTTCCCACCATCACAAATTAACCCCGGTTGGGGGCGGGTGTTGGGGGAGAATTAAGAGGACATGGCGAGGGTAGCTGGGGCTGGGTTAGAGGAGCCGAGTGGGTTTCAGAGGCATGGAAAACCCACTGAGGCCGCTCGGGCACCTTGCATAATGGGATGCAGCCAAGGACTGCGAGGCAGCCGGGGGAAAGTAGCACTGGCTTCAGTGTCCGCTGACCCAGTGCCCTTGCCTCCAGTGTTATGGCTGAACCCCTGAGGGTGATGTCCAACCCAAGGATTGCCTGGGTAGGAACTCCTCTCTCTCACACACACATTCAGACAGGCATGTATAGTGACACATAGAATGATAAATCACGGAGTAATGGATGCCATACAGTGACAATCTGATACCCAGTAACTCACACCCAATGGCCTAATTAAGCAGGCTTCAACACACACACACACACACACACACACACACTGACCTAAAATTCCTTAATACAAACATAAACAAATGTGACCTAGGAAAACATATACATGAGGACTTCTATAGGCCATCTTACACACAGCATGATCAAACCACACAAAACACACAATGACCCGGGACATCATGACACAATGTATTAACGACACAGTAAGACCTTATAATATTATACCACATATCAAGGTCACGATGTCACATATCCATTATCATATTGTGATTTATGTGCCCATGGCACCCAGATACCTAAGACTGCACCTCACCCACAGAATCCCTGTCTGTCCTGAATATGCCCACCTTTCTGTTCCACAGCTCCTCATTCCAAGGCACCAAATCTTCCTACCAGTGGAACAGCGTTTCTCATCAGCTGACTCATCCACCCTGAAAGCATCCCTGCCCAGTCCTTTCTAGTATAGCTAACTCTTTGAAGGGGAAATGATAGCAAATTTGGAGGCAATAACAGAACTTAAGGTGAGTATTTTGGTGTAAGGTGGGGCTATACAGAGCCCACTGATCACCATTCGTCTCCCTCTTATTTACACGCATGTCCTACAGCTCTAATTGCATCCTCGGGCGACCCTCCACATTGATGTGTGCCTGTCTGCCAACTGCACCCACCTCCAGACTCCAGGGCCAGAGTCCACAGGTCCTGGTGCAGACACCGAGGACCCCAATGTCTTTTGGTTGTAGGTTACTTGGGCATCCCAGCTCCCACACGGGCCCTGCCCTCCCAAGTCAGTCTCCATCTTCAGAAGGTAAGTGCTAGAAGTCATGGCCTTCTCCTCCTCCAATATGTTCTCTCTCCCTCCTCTGCAGCAGGAGCTATGGAGAGGTGGGAGGGAGGGAGTGGGTCGGGTGGGGGATCGATGACAGCCTGGCCCCTGGCCCAGGACTCCATTAGCCTGGACTTTGGTTTCCCGAAGCTGGATTGCACCTGGGGACTTTGGTGGTAGAGTTGCCACCAGGCAGGGGAGGTGAGGATGGGGGTAGGAACTCCCGCCCTCTTCCAACCACCACCTCTTAGCACATCCTCCTTACCTGCTCCCAGGACTCAATCTCCTCCCTCTAGGCTCCTCTGAAGGTAGAAAGAGAAAGGGGCTGCCTTCAGCCTAAGGGATGCTGGGTTCGCTAGATGACCCCTCTTCCCACTAAATAGTCTAAAGCGTGTGGCAAGTTAGAACACAACTGATTTCATCTTTTTAAAACTGGATGAACCCTAGTTCATCTAGGACCAATTCCTGTTCCCCACCCCATCCCAATTAAATGCAGCAGAGGATGGAGTTTTGGGCTCTTACTGAACACTAGAGCAGGCAATGCATGGACCCTCCTTTTCTCCCTAGCTCCTTCCACATCTCCCCTGCAGTCCTCCTATCATGGTTCTTGCTTGTTTTCCCATCCCTGGTGGAATTGGAACAGCCATGCTATGAAGCTGCACAGCTCTTGCTGTAAAGAGGAGGCAGAGGCCAAAACACTCTGGTGGAGGCAGAATATGTCCCCTCCCTACCTCCATTATCACTCTCCCCACTTGACTTTGGGGTGGAGTGGAAAATTGACCTCCCACTCCCAGTGTCTGCACCCTGGAGACCATTCTGCCATTGGATCCTGAAAGGATATGGGGCTTAGGAAGCAGGGTCCCAGTCTGACCCACCCCTCACCCTCCTGCCAGAGCTGACCTGTGAATGAATGTTTCATTCACAGTGTTCCTTCTCCTGTCCCTCCAGAGCCCATCCCCATCCTAAGTCTTGGGTATAGAACTGTTATAGTATCAGGAAACTCTGGAAACAGCCACACCCACAATCTGATACCTAAAGAGGCTCAGCACATACCCTGTCTTCTCAGGCACAGTCACATCTATCATCTGACAAAGCCACATACTCTGTCACTTTGACACATTAAATCACATCCCTGTCACAATACACAGGCTTACATAGTCACACTTTTGTCCTTTCTCACCACACACATGAACACACACAATCATATCCCCTGTATCTGTCACCACTGAGTCCACAAACTCTCTGTCACCTATACCTGCAAGGACAGAGGTGTGGGAATCACACATCTTCAGAGCTGTTGTGGACCCCTAACCCCAAAAGGGACTCCCCAGAAGTCTAGTGTTACGTCAGGATTCCCGGAACCTCCTTCTTCTACCCCAGATACCCCTGCTTATCTCCAGCCCTCTCCTCCTATCTCCCAGACTTCCCTCATCTCCAAACTCCAGTCCTCCTGCACTGCACCCCTTAGCATTTCTCAAACACCTGTCCACTGGTCTTCTCTCTTCACCTCCCAGTCCTCCAGATTCCCTCTTTACCTCCCCTAGATGCCCCACCACAGAGTTCCCATCTTTACCTCTCCCAGATGTCCTGTTCCCCAAGCATCCCTCCTCACCTCCCGGAGATGCCCTATCCCATCACTAACCTGCGCACTCCTCCGCCCAGTCACAAAAGTCAGAGTAGCCCCTCCCCAATGCTGCAGGCGCTGTCCCTCCAGCCAGCAGCCCAGAGCTGCCCAGGCCCCTGGGTTACCTTCCAAGGAGACAGGCTCAAAGAGGCCAAACTGCTCCAGGACCTTGACAAACAGAGCGAGGACCACAAGCACAGCGACCATCTCCAGCCCTTCCAGGTTCATGGTGGGCCTGGGGCATGGTCCCCAGGCTGAGACTCAGCAGGCCTGCCAGCCCTACTCACACCACCTCCCCCTCAGGCTC